TTTGTAGTTCAGCCTGGCCTTGAATTCCTATGTAGCCCAGCTTGGCCTTGAACTTGGAGCAATCCTCCTGCCTCATCCTCCCAAGTGCTGGGATTACAGGCATGCCCCGCTACATCTGGCTAAGAACAGCCATTCTTACAAACTTGTTTCTTTTTAACTTTTTGTTGTGCTTTGTTTTTTTGAGACAGGGTCTCACTATGTAGCTCAGGCTAGCCTTGAACTCGTGGTGATCCTCTTGCCTCAGCCTTCAGAGTGCTGGAATTACAGGTGAGTGACACCAAGCCCGGGGCTTTTTAACTATTTTTTTATTATCAAATTTTATAGAGAACATCTAACAGCTAAAAATCCTTAGAGAGGGCTATCTTAGAAGTCCCAAGCCACACAGAGTGGCACACACCTGTAATCCCAGCACTCAGGAGGCTGAGACAGGAGGATCACCGTGATTTGGAGGCCAGCCTGGGTTACATATTTAGTTCAAGGTCACCCTAAACCGCAGAGCAAGACACTGTCTTGAAAGAAGAAGGAAAAAAAAAAAAAAAAAAAAAAATGGTCCCAACAGTCACTTTAAAAAAACAGTAAAAGTCCAAACAATTTTAAATAGCAGTTACCTGAAATAGTAGGCTTATTAGCAAAATATGCTATATAAAATGAAATAGTGCTTACTAACTCTAAAATATCAAACTCTATTCTTTCTGAGATGAAAAAGAAAAACTTACTTCTTCTTGACGGTCACTTATGTTATAACACGCAAGGACCACAAAATCATTCCACCAGGCTAAGCCACCAGTCACAATCATATTCTGTTCCTTAAAAAATTTAAAAATGTATGTACCTTAATTATGTTACCAGAAATTACAAGAAAGTACTATAAAATATTTAAGGCAGACAAAGAAAGCTCAAATTATTTCTGCTTTACTTTCTTCTCTCTTCTAAATTATTACTCTAAGACAATGGTGGTGAAGCTATGGCACCCACAGTGGGCTGTTTGTTATCACTGAAAACTCTAAAAGGTTTGCCATCACTGCTCTAGGGCATTTAATAATAATGGTTCATATCCTATATTAGAAATAAATATTTCATTAAGGAAGCAAACACATCATTCAAAGTAACTGAGTACCATATAGTGCCATTATTCCCACATCCAAAAGACTTTGGTTTAAATTCTGTTTTTTTTTTTCATCAGGTGAGCTCACATCCAATTGACTGCACCAAACAAGCTGAAACTTGTCACATACAGTTACCAAGATTCTAGGTCTGCTTCTTGTATTGAAGATCCCTCCTATCCATTAGATAGGCCTTTGGCAGTAGCATTCACATCCATGTATCAAACACAGACAAGCAGAGAATGACTCAAAATTTTGTGGAAATTTATTTTTATCACATGGCTAATGAACTCAACCTTGAAAGTAAGACTAAATCTTCAAGCTAAAGAACGTTATTAATCCTAACAAGAATTAAAACAAACCAACTATTTCAACATCAGACATTTTACCAAATTATCTAACTGGCTTCACAGATACTATCCAATAATATTTATTATATTTGATTTTCTTTTTTACAAGTAAATAATAGTTTAAGGTATAGTTACTTTATATTGTAGTTCTTTTATACTGAGAAATTGGCTTTTAAATATTTGAAAATGACTAACCTGAGTAATGTTTCCAAAAAGTTTCCATTTTTTGGTGAGTAAAGAGTAATGTGCAAAACCAAACTTGCCAACCACAGCAATATTCTGTCCAAGTTTATCAATAGCTGAAAACTGTTAAAAAAAAAAAAGAACTTGTCCTTGCAAACCTAAATACTTTATTATGTATAAAGTACTTAATCTGAATAAGGTGAACAGACTACTAAAAAATGC